GGGAAGACTTCGTGGGTGAAGAAACACCAGGTGTATCTATGGCAAAAAATCACTAGATTGCAACTGTGATCTTTTATTTAGCTGCAACATACATCTTTGATCTACAGTTATTTGCCTGATTATAGCCTTTTTGAAGCAAAGCACTATCCCTGAGCATATAAAACTGAAATAAAGTATTCTGTACAGAATATACATTATACAACAGTAATGGCAGGTAGGTCCCTTTATGTTAGATGCGCTAGTTATCTTTCTCCCTCCAACTGCATATAAGTGGTATAAGATGCAGAAAGAACCGAGTTTTCCAAAGAATGCTTTGTTGTTTGCATATATCACTGTGAATGCATTTAGTGTGATATTTGCATAAGAAAGCTCTTTTAAATTTGAAAATAAATTATACCTAATGAATGTTTGGTCATTCCAAAGTTAAATCACAATAAGTGAAAAATAAAAAGGGGTAAACCCAACTTGTGAAAAATATAAGCTGCAATCCTATTTTCCCCTGACTTACAGCTGAGCTCATATGGATGGGAGAGTTCTTAGTTTTAGTGAAGCATATCCATTTGTCCAAAGGAAAAATATGCAAATGTTATAGCTTACTGTATTTCTATTCTAATCCTATTCTATTTAATCTTCAAATGGGATAGAACCAGACTGGAATTCCACTTTTGTTGTATATTCCCACAAGCCTTCTCAAGTATTGTGTTCATCAAGTGCAAAAGGGGAGGGGGACATAGGCTTGAATAACTTTCATACAGACAAAAAGTCCTTTGCACGGGCTGCCTCTGAGCCACTGAGCTGCAATTACCTGGGAACATACAACAGACAGTGCCAATCCCATCTCTTCAGGAAAATATTTAAATAAATGTCCCTATTACTTAATGCAACCAGCCATTTCTGTCTGGTCTTCCCTCAACTTCAGCATCATGTCATTCTGCGGGAGCAGGCAGCTTAAAAATATAAGATTGGCAGATTTGCACATGCATTTATTCCTTATTGCTGCAAAGCAAATACAATTGATGATGGTGATGATAATGATGATGTTTAATTATCATGATTATTCCATGATCTGGAAATAAAATTGCGAGCACTGAGTTTGGTAAGAGAATACAGAATAGAAAGGACATCAAGTGTTCTATAGAGATATATAAGATTAAGTAAAGGCTCCCCCACCCCCAAATTTGTAGGCAATAAAAAGAAGAAATGCATTTCCCCTAAAGCAATTGCATATTCATTATTTATTAGCAATACTTATATGTGTCTTAATTATTTAATATATTATGTTAAATATATATTGTATTAATGCATTAAAATATTTAAATAGTTTTGTTTCACAGGGAGGGTGTGGGGAGGGAAAGAGAGGTAAAGCATGACATGGTATTTCTGCTTTCATAACGTAATTTCGGATCGATCCAACTGGGGATGGGTTAACCTCCGATCTTGCACGGACCACCTTGCTGGACAGACACCAGGGCATGCACGAGCCCGACCCTGCGAGCCAACAAAGAGGGGAGCCAAACCGCACGCAGCATCTCCTCCCAGCCTCGCTTCTCAACCCACCGCCCGCTCCTTCACGACGCCTGCAGCCCTGGTGGGGTGCAGGAGGGCGTCACTCCGGTTTCCTTACCTGGCGGTGACTGATTTTTAAGGTGTGTGTCAGGCACGGGGCGGGGGCGCGGGATTCAGGAGGCGGCGCCGGCGGGAACGGCGGCCGAGGCTTCCCCGCCAGGGCCCGGCCGTCTCCTCCGGGGCCCCATCAGCTGCTCCTGCGTCGTCTTCCCGAAGATTTGCAGCCGCGAGCGAGGGAGAAAGGCGGCTTCGCCAAGGGGCGGAGGAGGTGCGGGCCCCTCTCACAGGCCAGGCGCGCAGAGGGACAGGCGGTCGACGCCTGGAAACCTTTTCGCTCGCCGCCCCCCGCAGCACAACGGCACGAAACGACAGCAAACGCGAGCGCTTTTCTTCTGGCTGCAGGAGCGGTCCCCAGCGCGCACCCGCCGCCCAGAGACGCCTCCCGGCCCCGCCGCCAGGGGGCGATGCTCGCGCTCCGTCCGGACGGCCCTCGGCGAGCCCCGTGAAGCGGCTGGACGGGGATGCGCGGCGGTGGGCGGAAGGCGAGCGGGGCACGTTAATCCACCCCAGGCTGCTCAGGAACGACTCAGATGGGGTTCGGAGGTCCTTCGGCAGAAGAGGATGACTATTTTTAAAAAATAAACGTGGAATTTGGCTTGGAAATGAAGTTGAAAAATTGACAACGGAAAGAAAGTGCATAGTAATGGCTGTTGTTGATTTTATATTCCTTTTTAAATGATGCTATTTAAGTGCACCTGTTCTTATTAAGTGACAAATATTAGTCACATCAGATAAATAGGACAATGTCCACCCAGGCTTATGCCAGAATAAAGCGCTTAAGATGCTAGAGGACTGTCTTTTTTGCCGCTGCAATACTCCAGTTCGGCTATACCCTTGGGTAATTTATTATATAGGTCACCCTGAGAGCTTCAGCTCCAGGGGGACTCATGAATGCAGTGAATTGCCAACGGGTGGAAAAAGACAAAGCTCGATTATTTTTGCAGAAAATAGGGAATGACTGTTAAATGAAAGCTAGAAAAAGAGATTACATGTGTTGCTTGTTTATGTGTGGTTACCCACATACTCCTGGCTTAAGCTGCAGTCTTTCATTCACCTCAGAATTAAGGCCCACTGAACTCCATGGAGTTTACATTTGAGTAGACATGTATACATTGGCACATAATTGCCTACTAGAAGACATTTAGCAACACAGTAACACTAGACAGTTCCTTATTTATTCAGTAAAATGTTTCAGGATCTACTTTTTCTATGACCTTGTAACCCAAACTAACAGGAGGTCTACCCCTTACCACTTGTCTACATAATGGGAAATGATCTTGAAGAGGAAAAGCAATTTTCCCCAAAGTCATGTTCATACATATTAATCCAGGATAACGAAAACAATGTGGGCCTGCGCTTACAGCAGCATCGACTTGCAATACTGCGAATCATATTTCAGGGCTTGTCCTGCAAAACATCCTGCACAAGATGGCACTGAATGCTTTCCAGGTTGAAACTTTCCATGCACCTAAGGCATTGTCAAGCATATCATGTCAATCATAGCCAGGGCTTTTTTTGTCATAAAACGCACCGGAACAGCGTTCCGGCACCGTTTTTTGACAGATTTTTCCAAGTGATTGTGAATCGCCCTGTTGGGCATAGCAGATTGGCGGCAGAAATCATTAACATAGTGCCTGCGGGCTGCTTGTGTGTCGGCACTGATTGTGAGGGTGCTGCTCGGCTTGGGATCGGTCGTGTGGTCACGTGCTGAGTGCTTACTGCCAGCGGCGACCATTGTGTAAAAGTGTGACCCCAAGATGTGAGCTCCAGCACCTTTTTTTTTTTTTTTTTTTTTTTTACAAAAAAAGCACTGATCATAGCTAAGATAGGTAGGAAACTGTTAAGGAAGAACAGGTGTTCTGTATCCAAAATTGTGTGTTGGGCAACCTCAAACCATACATCTACATTTTCTCTACCTCAGGCATTGAGCCTTAATCAGTGTAAAGCTTTCTGAAAGCACAAGCCACTCTCAAACATGCCACCCCAGAACTATAACCTATTAATTGCAAAAATAAGTACAAAAGAGTGAGAAACAGGAGTTGTGCATCCCAGGATAACCTTTGGACCACTGCCAATCTACATCCACCTATCCAGGAGAGTGTTCTCTATCAGTCACACTGAGCCATGTCTATCCAAAGCTTTCCATACACACAGAGCACTCACAAAGTGTGTCCATTACTAATGCATCGTTTAGGGATAGTAGCAATAGTAGCGGCAAGAACAAGCATAAGAGTGAGGAACTCAAACTTTGCTTCCTTGTGCCATATGCACTTACGGTACTTTGGCTTGTACACTAGACATTCCATTCAAATTCGGAAAACCTCCTCAAATTAGGTGCTCAAAATGAAGGAGGGCAAGCAAAACATGTGAGAAGCTGTATTTGGAGGCAGCATTTTCTAGATTTTCTGTAACACAAGTGAGCAAGTAAGTGGCATCTGTCCCAGAGGAAACAAAGTAGTGGGGAAGCAACCTTGGCAGTACGGAAAGTATAGCTGAGGGGGGTGGGGACTCGCCCCTGGACAAGTCAGTGGGCTCTGGATTCTTTCTTGTTCCTGGCTTGAAACGAGCAGTTCTGCAAATGCGTAACAGCGCATGTGCTGATGCAGTGGCAGGATGGTTATGTGCATAGCACCAAGGCAGGAGGAATTCAGAATTCCCTGGAAATCCATGCAGTTTTGGGAAATACTTACAAACTGCTACCTACCCACAGGGAAATCAGTTCTTGCTGTTAGAATGTCACACCCAGCTCTTGGTGACAAGCACCTTCCATTTGTCGGATTGCAAACTGGCAGGGAAGAAGGAATAAGCAAGGAGGTGCTCGCTTTACCACTTGGCGTGATGGCATCCATCTTTTCCAACCTGGCACCTGGCAGAGATGTTGAACTACAACTCCCGGCAGGTCTATTTGAGACTGCTGTTTTCAGAGTCATTACTCCAAGTTGTGGGAGGCCCTAGGACAAGATGTTCCCATTGGGTGCCTCTCCCCGAGTGCATCTCTCCTCCTGACACCACCTCAGTTGGTTTTGCGTTTGGGCACAATCCAGAGCACCACCTTGGGGGAGAGTAGAGCATGCACAGAGAGTTTATTTCTCTTGCTGCCTCCTTATGGGTGAACAGTAGCAGCAGGGCCTGGATGCTGCAGGGCTTGGCACATCAGGTAGGTAGCCCTCCCGCTGATGTGCGGGTCCCAGCCACAATGATGCTGACCTGTGCCACAAAGCCTTGCGTATCCTGAACAGCAGCTGTTTTCTCAGAGACAGGATTACAGGGCACTTCGGTGACACAACCACGGCTCTTGCAATGTAAGTTCTTTGGCTCAAGATGGGCTGCAGTTTTTCATCTCAACTGCCTGGAAACACCTCGACATAAAAGAATCCTTAAAACTCACCTTTATTAAGTACAATTTCGTTTAAATAGAACATTTTAACACTTCTGTTCTAACTTGTGGGCAATTGTACGAAAATACAGAATATAAAAATACAGAATTTTGCACAAGAATTAGCCATGGGGTTTTTGGACCACATAACATGATAGTATATGACTGGATATTTCCCCATGTTATTTAAGCAGGGATTATAACAACAACTGAAAAACTAAATACAGTAATGGGAATGCAAACCTGAGCAAAACTTAAAATTTAAACCCCAGGAATATTTAGCATGAGGCCTTTAAAGTACCACACCAAAATTACACAGGAGACCCCAACGATCACTTGGAAATCTCAAAATTACACAGAAGACCCCAATGATCACTTGGAAATCTGCCACAGTCCAGTTTTTCCAGGCCAATTAATTCCAAATTCTGAGGACTAATTTGACCACCAGGTGAAGCAGCTCGGAGGAACAGGCGATCAAACCGCATTTTGCACTTGTATTTTACATTCAGGTTCGTGTTCTGGCTTGTGTCCCAGGTGTAATGGCAATGCTTGGGCTTGCCCAAAAACTCCCAAATATCCAAAACCTTGTCAGGTAAGCCACCTAGTTTGTCAACCTGATAAAGAGAAAAATGGAAAACATTAATACTGCATTATACTGTATTAGCAATAGTCCTAGCCAGTGCAGTTCTTTCCACAGTGGTTAGACACATCACAAAATAATGTTGCCACCGTGCTCTGCCCTAGCTGCAGCTTTCAGGCCACGTATCAAGACTCCACAGGGAAGCAATCTCTGAACACTGCAGCAAGCTGCCACTGCCTCTCACCAGCTCAGTACTTCTGGTTTGAATCAGTTTTCAGGGCTAACTCTTTCCTGTGTTGTTCGAGGTGAAGTCTGAACATGTAACTCTGGGTTTCTGAGGGGCAAGCAACCCAGAATTTTAGCCCATCAACAAACCAGGGTTCCTGGGTTATTGATGAAAGCTCATTTAATCTGGAAGCAGTAAGTGCACGAACACATGCACTCACCACTCTGACAACCCTTTGTTTGAACAATCCATGGGTTGGCAGCACATGCGAACTGGGCCAGAGCATATTATAGTAGTACTAAGGTGGAGCTCATTATGCCCAAACTGGATAACTGTCAAACATTAAGTGACCTCCAGTTACTTAACTTAAATTAACCTTATAAAGCAAAGTACAAAGATACAGCTGAACAATTTTTAAAAAATTGTATCCTTGTTTCGAAAGTTAAATCTGGAGGAAACTCAACAACACAACAAGCCATAATGTGTAGAAACCTACACAGGGCAGCCTGTTTGCCCAGGGCTCACAACTGCGCAGCACATGGCTCGGGAGCTACCCCACACAGTCCTCCAATGGAAGCCGGAGGAATGCCACATGAGCACGGAGGTTTCCCCCACTCCCCGCAGCCACACAAGCCCAAGCAGTGGCAGGAAGTGGAGGGGATGGGGGGAGCTGGCAGCCCTGTTCCTGCTTGCCATCATTCCACCCACAAGGTGATTGCAGGCAGGCATGGGGCTGCTTTCGCTTTCTACTTACGGGTCCACCAGCTAGAATTGGGAGTGGGGACAGCCCTGGGCAATGATGGTGAGGATTCCTTGCAAGCTGGAGTGGAGGACAGCTTGTCATCAACGTGCCAGAGCGCCTTTCCCACAGATGGCAGGACCTCAGGGCAGTGCTGCCGTGCCCACCACATGCCAGTCCCCCAACACGATTTATGCTCTGATCAGGCTGCTGGGCAGCGGGGAGGGACCGGGAGCCCTTGGCAGCCATGCCAGGTGCTGCTCAGCCACTCTGGCACAGATGCTAGAGGCCCTCGCCAAGAGCCACTTAGCCAGAGCAGCATGTCTTTCCGCTACTCTTGCAAAGCAGCTCTCTAGGGTTTTGGGTTTCACCCAGGCATGTTGTGTTGCCTGCATTCTGAAGACAAGGCAAACCCAGCAGTGGTACAAGACCCTACATGGCTTATCGGGGTGGCTTTGTGATCACAAAGAAGCCACGTGCAGGAATTATGCTGGGTTCAGACAACACAATAAGCCCCCGTGGCTTCTAACCCATGGTGACTTAGCATGTTGTGCAAATCTTGTTAGATTTGTGTGTGTTCAGCCTCCATTAAGAAACATTATCAACATCAGGTTTAGTTAGCAAGAAATGACTGAATCATGCAATATTAGAGTTGGAAAGGGCCAAGAAGGCCCTCAAGCCCAGTGCCCTGCTCACTGCAGGGCTCCTCTCAAATGGCTATCCAGCCGCATCTTGAATGCCTCTAGTGTGGGAGAGCCCACAGCCTCTTGGGAAATTGGTTTCGCTGTTGTATTGTTCTAACAGTCAGGAAGTTCTTCCTGACGTTTCACTGAGATCTGACTTCCTGTAGTCTCAGCCCATTATTCCATGCCCTGCACACAGCCCAAAACTGCATTTGCCTTTTTTGCAGCCGCATCGCATTGTTGACACATATTTAACTTCTGATCACAAATCCAAGATCCTTCTCAGTTGTTATATTCCTGAGCTAAGTGTCCTCCATCTTGTCATGATGCATTGGGATTCTTTTTCGTAGGTGCAGAACTCGGCATTTGCACCTATTAAATTTCATTCTGTTGCTTTCAGCACTATGCTCCAGTCTATCAAAATCATGTTGAGTTTTATGTCTGTTGTCCAGAGTATTAACTATCCCATTCAGTTTTGTGTCATCCGCAAATCTGATCAGCATTCCCTGAATGTCCTTTTCTGAATCATTAATACAAATGTTGGACAACACTGGTTCAGGACTGAACCCTGTGGTACCCCACTCATTAGCTCTCTTGAGTTTGAGAAGGTGCCACTGACGAGCATTCTTCTTCTGTAGCCAACTGTAAGTCAAAGCACCAGAGACCAAGCAGATGGAAAGCCACTTCTCATTAGCAATGTTCTTTCCATTTGGGAACCTTTAGCTATGTGACAACCAATAGCTTGTCTGCCTTGCCTTATTTTATCTCTTGATAAAAGGGAATAGTTAATATTCTATTTAGAAAAATGTAATTATGCAGAAAGTTAGTGTTATCTTGGCAAATAAGGATAGGTAATTAAAGTTGGTAAGAATAAATTAAAAACAATACATTGGGAAAAGCCCAATCTGTTTTTGCTCTTGTTTACCTCTTTGTGTCTCAGATTTGTATCTCCGCCAAAGATCACAGTCATGGTCTCCTGTACCTCTTCCATTTTTGCAAGAACCAGTTTCAGCTGCTTTATGCGTTCTTCACCAAAGTTCTTGGTGCTTTCCAGATGGGAGGTCATAAAGCAGATCTCAACACCAGAGATGGTTGCCTGTAAGGAGGACAAGATGCCAAGCCCTCAGCTCTATTTCCTGCTGAGGGCTAGAACAGTAGAGTTTTACTTCTTTTTACAATAGCACCAGTTCTCCCATAATCTCAAACCTGACCATCAAACCTTGCTTGCCATCCTTGAGAAGAAGAGGAGGGATAACAGAATGGATAAAAATAATGTTTAAAATCAAAGATCTTTTTTATTTTAATCAAATGTTTTTATTTAAATCAGATTTTTTAAATTTAAATCAGATTGTTAATAAATGAAATGGTTTTTGAAGAAAAATCCATCTAAAGATACTTGTATATTTAAGATACATTATAGTCCAAAGGTTATTCTTCGTGAAATAAGGATTAGTTTTTAATTATGTAGCATGAGGCTACATCATGCAATTTGTATATTTGTTGGTAAATGAATTCCAATACTCCATTCACATTCTCAGGTTCTTCCAGAGGTTTCTGTAACGTCATTTTTTCTATCTAGAACATATTATCACAAGTGCTTGGTTTTACAGTTCTCCAAACTGTGAATTTCTGTCTGTAGGGATCACATGCTTCTTCTTCACAGCAAAAAGTTGTAAAAGATACAGAATTGAGAAAAAGACCTTAATCCCATTGATACTTTGCAAATCTATGTACATAGAATCAACCCCTTACCTCTTAAGTGCTAAGTTTCAAAAAAATCAATGAATAGAAGAGTATTGTTGGGAGTGAAATAGATCGGCACAAGAAGCTATGTGTGAGGAGGCAAGGGCAAGCGGTGAAAATGACAGTGAAAACTTTTGATCTTTGGATCTTTTTGTGTATAGCCAGAGGTTTATCATATTATTCTTTCCCTGGAGGAGAAAACCTGTAATGGCAGCAGGCCATACAAGAGAACCAGTTTGGAAATATTTTAATGAAGTTCTTTACTGATGGGTAAGGCAGGCCTGTGTGCAAATCATGTAGAAAACCATGATTTAAATCAATTTGATTTAAATCAAATCCACTCTGATGAGGAATGATTTCCAAAGCCACAATGTGGAAGTGAACCAGAACTGAGTATTTAAATACACTTTGGGCAAGGCTGATCTTCTCTTACTGGTGCTTTAGCTTAAATAGCAATTGGGGGCTATGGGTTGACAGATAAACTAATGATAGTAATAAATATTATTTACTATTACTATTTCTGTTGTGAGCCGTCCAGAGACACAGAGTGATTGGACAGCCTAGAAATATCCCAAATAAATAAATATTTTCATTTTGTTCTTCCAGCCAAGGCACCCTGCTTTACATTCAAGAATACTTAAGAAGTAATGCAGCCATCTGTAGCAAAGTTGGCATATGCTTTATTGAATACAAGGATGAAATTTGGTTGCAGACTATGAACAGCAATATACTGCCATTTCCTGTCTCTGTCTAGGTTCCCCACATAGGCCAGGCAATGTTGCATGAGCCCCCAGAATTGCCTAGCTGAGTGATGTGTTGATTCATTTTCCCAAGCCAAGAACAGAAGACAATGCTTCTTGGCATGGATTTTATAAAGTTCCTTTCTTCCACTACTGTAGAGTCTGTCAGCATGCTTTAACCCACCCACCCCCCTTCCTGAGAGAATGTGATTGGAGGCTAAGCTGCTTCAGTAAAGAAAACAGCTTCAGTTCCCCAGGCCAAAAGTAGCTCTTACATAAGGAATATGCTTGGAGAAATTTGCTTCAAGGCAAATAATGCTGGTGCATTTCCTAACAAGCTAAAGGCTCTAAGGCTTTTTGGCATGGCTCCAAAAATATTTTGGCTTTTAAACATTAGTAAAATTCACATCACTACTCTTTAAACTTCAATTCTTCCAATAAAGCCCCCAATCAGCCTGCTTTTCAGGAGCCTTTAATTTTATTTTCTCCGGAAAGTCAACATACAACAATTCACTCACGTGTACTGTTAATAAATTTCTCCTCATCACCGTTGTAGGGAAAGGCATTATTTCATGTTTCAAAACTTTCACTCTTGATTTTTTTAACATGATGGCAGTAAAATAATCAATTGAATTACCTGGAGAGAGACACACACAAAAAGCAAAGGTCAACATCAGTGATACCTCAATTATAAAAGACAGTTGCTTTGAGTCCAAGTGAGTCCTGGTCCTAGTCTTATATTTTTGCAGTTCAGCATTACATCCAAACTCTACAACTTGGCTAAGATCAAGATTATTGTAACAAGCTACTTTCATAAACGAAGGTTTGCAGTTGGTTTGTTTCAGTTAAACCCTAGTTAAGACTAACCAGAGTTTCTCCACATTCAGATATAATGCTAAACAGGGATTAGTGAAAAATGAAAGCAAAAATTCTGATCTCGCATTCATGCAAGAGGAAGAGGCGGCGGTTGCGGTGGCATGCAACACTGCGTAAGACTGAATCTTACTGATGCTCAGTCACGTGATGCCAAACCACAGGTTAGCATTATGGACAAACAAGCCAATCAGTCTTCTCAGGAAGACAGCACAATTAGTTTATCCTGCACTGTGCCATCGTGCAGTACAGAGTAATTAAAAATTGTGTTGTAGATGTCATGGCTGCACCAAGTTTACAACACATATTATAGCTTCATTTTACCTGGAATAATTGTATAACTGACTGCTCTCTTCTGTAGATAACTCAAAGTTGGAGGAATAACCTCCTGTAAAAATACAACGTCTGGGCTGTACCTAAAAGGAAAAGAGGAATTTGTAACAGAACACAAGGCAATACACCATAACATTAAGGAGCACAAATTACCACTTCAGTTGGTCCTGATCAATAGGGTTATGCCAATATTGTACACTGGGTATTTAACAGCTATAACACTGCTGAATTTAATGATGGGTTTATTTCACCTCTTTTAAAATAACCAGCAAACTGATCCACACATGCACAAATGTCAGTCAGTACTTTGCAACTCTCAAAGGAACATGTGAACTGCAAATTGTTAAACAGTTACAGACTTAACGGAACAAACTTTGTGAGTATGATAATTTGGCTCTTGTGACATTTTCCTCTCCACACTTCCTTCTCCACACTTCTGTGTTGAGAAATGAGGTTGGGGGAGGGGGATTGCTTTTGCTGTTTCTTTGGAGGTTTCTTTAGAAATTTTTTTCATACTATAGTATGCCTCCCCCAACATTCTGAGGGACAGTGAACTGGCCCCCCCTTTAAAAAGTTTGAGGACCCCTGGTCTAAAGGGTGGTAATTCTGCTGGATTGCTCTTTAAGCATTACTGCTATCTGCACATTTCACAAATTTCTAAACATAACCAACAAAATATAAATGTGACCTTTGTTCTTTTAAAAATGTGCTGCCCAATCCATTTTTGTCTAAATCACCCTTCCTCAACCTGGTGACCTTCAGAGGCATTCGAACCACGACTCCCAGAATTTCAATCCAGCATGGCCATTGCCTGGGAATTCTGGGTATTGCAGTCCAAACATGTCTGGAAGGCACAAGGTTTGGGAAGTGTTCATGGGGCTGCTGCTGTAGGTACTTACAAAGCTAAATAGGAACAGACTCCTCGAATCCTTTCTTGAAGATTATTTGCATCCAGGCCATCTATATTCCATGTGATTAAAGAAAAGGAGTTATCGTCTTCTTGTAGACCTGAAGCCTCATCTTTCTTAGCCACTGTCAATGTGCTACTGCTAGCTGAATCATCAGTAAGGTCAATACTAGAACACAAACAAAAGGAAAACTTACTAGCCCAAAGTCATTTTCTTCTGCTGGTGCTCCAGCTCACCCCTCCACTAGTTCTCAGGGCTCAGTACAATGTCTCAATTATAGGCTAGTTCTGGGGCAAAACACCAAATTTAAATGGCAGCCCTGAGGGAGAGACACCATTTTAGTTTGCTGCAAGGGCCTGTAACACTACAGTACAGTAACACTATACTGAGGACATTAAAATAGAGATCACACAGTTCAGTGCAACTCATTTGCGGCTACTGTAGAAGCCCCATCACTTCTGTCCAAGATCTCAGTGGGGAGCCCTGAAACAGGAGGCTAAGGGCTTTCCTTGATCTTGTATCCAATCCTAATGTAAATTTCACTCTGCATTGTGAATCACACCATTCACTGGGAAACTCCAGGCCAGAAAGTGTGGGGAACCTAAAAAAAATCTAATCTGTTGCCACTATTAATTTGTGATGAGGGAAGGAGGGAAAGACAGCAGGCTACAAGCTTCCAAGGAGAACATACCCTTGAACCAGCTAAGGTTGTGAGCATGCCAGTAGGCATACAGAATAATGTATCTGGTAGCCTGTGGCCCTCCAGATGTGATTGAACTCAAACTCTCATCTCCTCAGCAAGCCTGAGCAATGGTGACAGCTGATAGCAGTGGTAGTTCATCAATATCTGAAGGACCACAGCTTTCTCTAACAAGCTGGGATACACAGCCAGACTGTTTAGTTCAAGGAGCAACCACAAAGTAGCGCTAGTAACTGCTTCCAGCCCAAGAAAAGAGGGACCACAACCTGACAGAGGTCTGTATACAAGCCTGCAAGTCTGCTTGGAAGTAGTGCCTATTTGAGTCTGTGAGCTGCAGGCCACCAACTCTGAATCACAATGGCAGCAGTGACTGAATCCCAGCCAGAAGAAAAGAACAACTTTTGAGCAGAGAAAGAGGAGGGGAGAGCAAAGATGGAAGTATGAAGCTGCATAAACCTGCAAGTTCAGAACTTAGCTCAGGCATGGAAAACCTTGATAGAGATTAATATCTATGCGGACATTGGAATGGCAAATGAAGAATCTGTAAAAATGGAGCTGTTTCTACATTTGATTGGAGAAAGGGGAATAGAAGTGAAACACTGTCCACAAACACTTCCCAAGCATAGTATAATTTGGACCATTGCAATGCCAGGAAAGATAGGAACAGGGGAACAATAGAGTTTTTTCATGCAGAACCAAACAATAGTGCATAACATTGGGTACAGGCAGTCCCCAGGTTACAAACACCTGAGTCAAAAACAACCCATACTTATGAACTGCCATAAAGCTTATTAATTTTAAAAAATTACTATATAAAATCATCATCACCAAAGAGAGACAGGAAGCAAAAACGGAGTACAGGCTGGATTAGTAGGCTGGTGATGATCAGAAGCCATCAAGGAAACTCAGAATATGTTTAGATCACAAAGCCCTTAAATAAAGCACAGAGAAGACATCACTTTCTATTACCAAATCTGTCAAAAGCAAAGCTATTCTCCATTGGTAAAACCAAACATGGATTTTGGCATATAGAGCTGGATGGAGAATCCAGTTATTTGACCACATTCACCACACCAGATACTGCTGGCTAAGGATGCTGCCCCTGAGATATGTTAAAAGAGATTGACACAAACCTTGGAAGAACTAAAACTTCAGGATATAACTGATGATATGCTTATAGAAGGAAAGTGTGATGCACTATATCAAACACAGCAGGACCATGAGAGTAAGCCAATAGCATTTCTGCTAAGTTCTCTACGGCCTACTTAATTTGAACTACTGGATATTCCCAAAGTGATGGCAAAGTAGAATCCACAGAACAAGCAATTATGACATTTTTGAGAATAAAGTAGCAGGAACAGGCCTATACCTAGTAAGTCTGAATGACTGGAATACTCCATCCCAGGGCCTAAACAAAAGTCAAGCAAAAAAGTCAAAAAACAAACCTAACCTTTTACTAGGTTATGGGAGTCCAACTCCAGCAACAAAATTGGGCAGAGTTTGGCACAGGGCAACCAGATTTTCCCTTACATTGATGCAGAATATAAGGTACAGATACACAGCAGATGGCTATTAACAAATGGCATATAAGGCAAGACGCAGAAGAATTGAGGGATGACATGCATTTGAATGGGGGACAAATAGATATGAACCTGCAGGATGAGATCTGAGATTCCTTGACCAGTGCTGACCAGAAAAGCCACACCAGGGGATACCTTAGGGGAGATGAATGCAGAAGAGACTGCAGCAAGCATACATCTGAATCTACAGAGAAGCAGGATATAGGATAGCAGCTGAAGAATTTCATCACTGAACTCCAGCACACTCTAAACTAGACAAGTTATTAAGAGATCTACAAGCCTGAAGTCTATGTATAATGTTCCAGCTCATTTTTAATCCATTCTTTCTCAAAAGATGCAGCAACGTAAAAGCAGCACTGGATTCAGTCTGAATGGGTTTTGCTTCCTGGGAGAAATCAGGAAGAAGTTCAGAGCTACATCCAGTGCTTGTGGCCTAAAGAGCAGCAGCTTTTGTTCAAGTAAAGGCTTTTAAGTTGCTGCGCTTTGTTTTGTTTCTTTGAAGCAGAGTCCATCTGAATCAGTGGCGTGCAGTTCACCCACTCTAAGCTCTCCAGATGCGAAGGACAACAACTGCCAGCACCCTCCTGCCAGTCGTGAGTGCTGCAGCTGGGAGAACAAATTGATCGGGAGAATACAGGTTACCCTATAGATTTAATCGGGCGAACTTACACTGAAACGTCCATGTGCTCCTGATTAAGGGGCGGCTCGAAATAAGAGTTCAACGCCATCTGCAAAACAAAAGGCCAAAAAAGAGGAAGCTGCTGCTACTGCTGCTAAGATCATTCACCATGCACCGCGGTACAGAAACCCTGTGCCTGAAGGAGAAACGAGGGGCATACTTGCACATCCCAGCAGTTCTCTGCAAGGAAGCGCTGCGCGACCGCGTCGTCGGTGCCGCTAACGGCAGCAAATTCTGAGCAGAGGAGCCTCCGGTATTTCTCCAGCTCTTGCTGCTGCGTCTCCTCCTCGTCCTCTGGAGGCTCTTGCGAAGGCTGCGGCTTCCCCTCCTCCTGGATCGCCTGTTCCTCCTCTTGCGGAGCGCTGCCCACGTCCATTTCTCGCACCGTTCTAAACACCTCACACCGCCGCCTTCCCTCGCACGACCGCTACGGACCTCTCCACCTACCGCCTCCCACCGCACCGACGAACGAAACCCTCACGCAGGCGCAGAAAGGACTAATTCCGATGTTCTCATCCGCTCCTTGAAACTTCGGCGCGCTTCCGGATACGGAGCCAATCTAGCCCGGGAGCGGGGAGAACTGGGCCCGGTCACGTGCTGGGTGCGGCTTAATAAAGGGGAAGGTTCGGCGGATGGAACGCAGAGCAGGGCGTGCGGAGGGCCGAGCCGCGCTGTTAGTCCAGTAGCTTCAGGAGGCGGGGTAGAGGCGGTCGGTGGCTTCTGCTCTCTTGTAGCTACCGCTTTTTTTCCGCCGTTACGAAATTCTTACCCCACCAGCATTTGCGGGGAGCGAGAGAGGTTTGGCAAGTGCGTTACTCAGGAGGAGGGCCATGAGTCACCTTACCATCCATACCCTTCGTGAGGTGGTAAAGCACTTTCGGGAGTCTCCCGGCTTTGATCGGGTGTTAAATAAGGTAATAATAACCGGTGTGGGGCCTTGGCGTGGGTTCCCTGCTTTGTTGGTATTGCTGACCTTTCAGGGCGACCTTGGTAAGTCCTGCGGAGTTCTGCAGTGATATCTGTAGAGACGTTGGACTACAACTCCTAGTTCCTTTAGCAATAGTTCCATGCGAGACGCTCACTAGAAATACTTATTTGGATTGCAAACCTGTTTCTCCATAGCCTCATTCCTGAATATGGACCTACCCTGGAACATATGGACTTCAGCTCCTTCTTCTTTCTTGTCTGTGCCCCCAGTACTGGGTGTCTAAATGTGAATTAAAAGGTGCACGGGTTGAATGATAATTTAATCCATATGGCACAGACCTATGCATGTAGAACTTTTTTCTGCCTAAACAATTCCTGAGGTATGCTGGGAATTGTAGGACTATGCATGTCTAAACCTGCAGAGCATTGCACCTGTAGCTGGTTTTGGCCTGCCAAACATCTTTGCATCTCAAAGAAATGGTGGAGTCATAAAGTAATTCAAACCTTCTGGGGCAAATATTTGTCACATATGTATTCTAACAGCTCATGCTTGTTCTCTCTTCATTTTCTTTATTTTGAGCAAACTTGAGCAGCTATCTATTGCAGACTTGCAACCAGTCTACTGTACGGTGGTACCTTGGCTCACAAACACCTCAGTTCACAGCCAAATTAGGTTGCGAACAGAAATTTCAGAAGAATTTTGTCTCAGTTCGCAAACTCTGCATTGGGTGATGACCACAATTGCGGCCATGTTGCCTCATGAATGCGATCACGCCTGTCTCCCCTGCACGAGTGCAATCGTCATCACTCCCGTCTGTCCCCCCCCCCCCCGAGCATAATCGCAGCCATCTCCCCCTCAGCACGATCTCTATTGCACGATTATGATTTGGAGTCGGACTCTCCCTCCAAACAACCTCTCCCCTGCACCAACCTAGGTTAGTGTTCTCTACTGTACTGTACTTTGTTACTTTGTTTCAAATTTTTGTGATTTAAAAAAAAAATCAGAACGGATTCACCTTATTTACATTGAACCTTGTGGGGAAATTTGACTTGGCTCGTGACCACTTCGGGTTGCAACCAGAGTTGTGCAAAGGATTAAGTTTGTGAGCCAAGGTACCACGGTAGTTTGGCATGATATATGCCGTATTTACAGAAAGCAGATATAAAACTACCTGCTGTTAAAGTACATTTATGAATGATATCATCCAACTAATCTCTAAGGTATCACTTGTGCCTACTCTAATTCATGTGAATAATAAATGCTAAGCCCTTTATTTATTATTATACCCACAAATTTATATAATTGCTCCAACTCCTACTGTAAATACTAGAGAGCTTGCAGAACCATCATAGAGAATAAAGCTTTCAATGACTTCTAGTCCTGATGACTATATGCCCTTAATCCTATATATACTAATAGTAAACTAATTTTCCATATACCTGATATTATGTAATCACAGTGCTAGGTGACGCCCCACAGTTTGTAGAAGTTAGAAAACAAAATCTTTCCACACATTAAGGTGGAAAGATCCAAAAGGCAATCCAGTGAGGATTCTAAATTCATTGGGCACAGAAAAGTGGCTGACACGTAGGTGGGAAAAAGGATGGGAAAACAGTGGGGAGATGAAATGGAACAGAGTGAATGGGAAGAGGACATGGATGTCTGCAACCCTCAACAGGAGATTCCACACTGCAACATTTGCGTGTTTTTGAGAGCATATTGCAACATATATGTACCTTAAATAAAAACATTCATTACCTTTTAAATGTTATATCATGCGGAAAACGTAGAGAAGTTTAGTGGAATTAGATTTCTTCTCTTCCTCCACACTATTTGCAGATGACACTTGTTTCTGCTAGCCCTGGAAAAGTTGTATGTGAAATGAAAGTAGAAGAAGAGCACACAAACCGAGGAGGAACTCTGCATGGAGGGCTGACAGCAACTCTAGTAGATGTTGTGTCAACTGTGGCTTTGATGCACACCGAAAGACAAGCACCTGGAGTTAGTGTGGATATGAACATTACGTACGTATCAAAGAAGTGCGATATGTTAAGTGGTGATTTCTGTTTAAGTGAGCCTTGATTCTACAACAAAATGTGGCAAATAAGAAAGCTACCGAGGACTGTCCTCCTTGAGAGGATGAGGAGACAGGATCTTTAGGAGTACCCCATGTGGTTCCCCAAAAGCAGGAGCCAGGAACAGAGTACATCCATCCTGTAGAAAGAAGGAGTGCCCAGCTTCGGCTTCCAAACACTCTGAAAAGGGAGTTGTTCATGAAACAGCACACTGATTTAATTAACTGGCTGTGCTGAGTTACAGCCAGCTATAAATTAGTTCAGGGAAAGTGGCTCTGTGTTGCAAACAAGCAGCATTATCTGTGATGCTGCCCTTTGTTGATACTAACTGGTATCTAGATTCCTGGACATTTTTTTCACACATCCCCACCTGACTTGGAGCTTCAGACATGCAATAACCATATGACTTCAAACCCTGGACTGAAACTGACCGTTTTTGAATAAGTAATGCAGAGACTTGACTTGTGTGTAGTCAGGGCAGGACAGTTTGTTTGCAACCCATTACTCTCTCCCTGACTCCTCATCCACTGTCGGGAAGGAAACCATCCTGCCTCCTCCTCATCTCTACAGAATGGATTTCCTCTGTCTATGGCTTCTGCTTTTGGGGAACCACAGGGGCTTCCAAAGGAGCACAGTCTTCTGTAGCCATGACCCCTGGGTCTGATTGTGGCTGGAGCTCACTGCCCTGGCTGTCTTCATCTGAAGAATCCTCCAGGTAGGACATGACAGAATGAAAGCAGTTGTCTTAATACTGTCAGTAGCACATTGGTCCATGTTGCCTTCACTGACTGGTAATGGCTTTCCAGGTTATCATGTGGGAGCCTTTCCTAGCCCTACCTTGTGATGCTGGGCATGCAAACCTTAAGCTGTTTCCTTTCCCCAAAGCTAGTGAATTTTCCCAAGGCCACCTCATGGCCAGTGGCTAAGCTTGGTCTGGAACTCACATTCTCCAAATTTACTTCTTGCTCTGCTTGGAAGCCTGTGCTGCATTCTGTCTACAGATAACTGTGTGTGGAACTCAGCAGTTTTCTGTATGTCAGTTTTGTGCAGTTTTTCTCCAGCAGGCCCTACCATGGACGATTATGTGTTATAACCCAAAATATTAAGCTTTGTATAAGTAAACAGCCCCAAATTAACCTACAATCAGTCTTAGGTCAAGTTTGAATTATATAACCGCAAATAATCCAAAATATCCTGATTTGTGTATCATGTAACAAACTATTATCAGAAGCTGATCAAAGCAAGCAGCTCATACATGCTGTTCAGTCTGGCAAGTCCTGGGTTAATTGAATATGTACAAAGAGGGCCTCTCTCTCTCAGCCAAAGCTACTTCATACAGCTATTGTGAGGCTGAAATGAGCTAAGAAAACCATGGATACAGCCTTGATCTCTTTAAAGGAAAGGTAGATTATAAATGTAAGCGTTTTTTCTTCCCTTTTCCGTCTTCAAGCTACATGTCAGCAGCTAAGATTGGAGAGGAAATCCTGATTACGGCTGAGATTCTGAAGCAAGGAAGAAGTATGGCCTTTGCCAGTGTGGATTTAACCAACAAGGCAACAGGAAAATTGATAGCCCAAGGGAGGCATACCAAACACGTGGGGCACTGATAACTGAAAAAGATCACTTCATTTAAAACAAAGCCAAAAACATCCTTTGCAAAATTAGGGTGGAGTGACTTTACAGTAAAACGAAATTGTGATGTAACCAAGGAGGATGAAATGTTCATCAGTATTGTTGGACAATTTAGTATACAGATTGTTAGTGTAAAATCTGCTTCTGACAGCAGAAAGTAGGAGACAGATGTAATACTTTATCCTCCCTACTAAAAAATGTGCCATCATTGATACTAGGTTGACATCTGCAGTGCTAGAAGGGATGCATGGAAAAGATAGGTGGTTTTCTTCTGTCTGTAAGGAAATTTCCTTTGAGCGCCATTTGTAGGAGAGACTATGATGCTGATGGCTTCATACAGTTAGGTTGGATCCAGAATACTGTGGGATACACATGCAGGATGAATGGGAAGGAAAGCTATTTTCACTGATGCTTTGCCTCCCCTTGAAAAGCTTCTGCATGGGGAGGATTCACCAAACAGCACGAGGCATGCTGCTGAGGGCTGAGAAACTGTTGAAAATGCCCACCTTTCTCCCTATGTATCCCCTAGCTGAAGGTTTGCATGAACTCCAGCCTTTCTGTTTGCAGAAAGGCATCTCTGGATCCAACTCTGAATGGTTTCATGTCTTCCAGTTAACTTTCATGTTACTTCCTTCAGCAAAACTACTTGGTAAATGACTGACTTGTGTGTACTTTGAATCCACATCATGTGAATGGCAGATTATTTAAACTACTAGTTTTACCTATTTCCTTGGATGTTGTTAATTAAAATTCATACATGATTATCTTTAAAAGGCACTGTTCTTTCCCAAACAAATTAAAGTACAAATGTTTCATTAAAGGATGTATGATGAGAGAACCACTCAAGTAAAATTTGGTTTTGTAAAGCTTCAGTTTCTGTGTATAATCTTCTCTAATGTATAAAATACCCATTTTATACCTTTCTCCAGCAAGTTTTCTGAAAAATTAAGAACAGAGCTTCCAGAAGGCACCTATGTTGTGATTGCCCTTTGATTCTAAACTCTTTTCCTTTGGTAATATACAAGAAAGATTCCCTATATTATTGAAAAAATGTCATTGTAACTGCTACAAAAACGCAGCATATCATTTTGGCTTTTGCTAGTGAGATTTTTGGATGTTATCAGTCTCTTACATAGTGAGGGTTCTGAATGTTCAACACCTTCCCAGAACTGAAATCCACCCCCAAATCCAGGTTGGGAGTGCCTTTTTAGTTAAGATGATTTAATTTGTATGTAGACTGACTACAACATCTTGTCAACCCTCCCCCAATTATTCTAACCCTTCTCCCCACCTCCACCTGGTTTTGTAGTATCTCACCTAAGTTTGGAAGAGTATGGAAACTTGTGCATTTTCTACATATTTCACGTTCACTGAATATTATAATGCACTTATATCCCACATTTTTTCCTCTTGTGAGAAACCCAAGGTGGGTTACACAGCTCCATTTTATTCTCACAACTACTTAGATTAGTTCATGGGTGAATGACTGGTCCTGTAACCCAGTGAGCTTCATGGCTGAATGGGGACTAGAACCTGGATCTCCCAAGTCCCAAATCAGCATTTCCCACCACACCACTCTTTTATAACTAAAGGATGGCTCCTCAAGGAGCGGTAATTCCCCATCCTGTCATTGACTGGGTTAAGGGGATTTGTAACAGGCTTGCCCCTAGTTGTTACAGTCCTTGCATTTTGCCCTTATTGACAGATTCCTCTTCATTTAGCTTGCCTTTCATAGAAAAGGGGCAGCATTCAAGCTTAGTATATCTGATGAAAACCAGGAAGAGGATTGTGGAAGACTAGAACTGTAACAGAGCCTGAATGATTCAAACAGCATGGCAGCTGGAGTTGTTTTAAACTATCTGGTCCAGACTGTAAAGTGCTTCTGATGCACCATTGTAAAGTAGCAGGAGGTATCTCTTTTTGATGCTTTCAGTAGATGATAAATTAAGTTTTATAGAATTTGATTGCCTGAGCACTTTCAATTCACATGACAAAGACAGCTATTGTTTTGAGAACACCTAATCATTCCCCATTTTAAAGGTCTCTAAATGAGTAGCAAAAAGAAAAAAAGCAAACAACTCTAGGAAGCCAATCGTTACCAAATGGGAATAGCTGTGTATACAAATGAACAGACTATGACTGTACAGAGATACTACTCACCATTTTCTGAAGTGTTACGAATACAACTGCAGCTAGTATGATTGGTGATATTGTAGCACTTTTAGTACTGGATCTTAATACTGTGTTCCCTCTTACTGCATTCATTCCAAATATAATAGCTATTTTCCCAAGGAAAAAAGGAAAATGCTTATCCCTAGTGCCCAGTTTGATCGAACAGAGCCTCAGATTAGCTGTACTATAGGTTATTGCATCATGCTTTTCTTATAAAATTCATTAAAGACTTGTTCACAGGATGTACTGAGGTTCTTTTGGTATATCGGCTCAGCCTTATGAATGTGTATGCTCAGACATGCACATTTAATTGCTATGTTCCATACAAGACTTATCTTACATGCATGGGCTATATGTCAGTCTACAGTTAGATTAACCTATGTTCCAAGTGGGAATGATACATGGCTCTATAAATGAATGCAGCAGGTCATTGATCAACTAATTTATTTCCAATTTTTCCAATTCCAAACAAAAGCTAAATACAAATTTTAAACAGATAAGCACTAGATTTACCCAAAGGGATTAGGCTTATACAGATTTACTTCAGTAAAATTACTCAATCCTTAAGCAAAGCATTCTTTGCCAAAACTATACAGTAGTCTTCCTTATAGTCATTGCACAATCTTAAACAAAATATGTTCTGTCAAAACCAACTTTGACACTCCAAACAATATTTTACAATTAAATCCACAACTGCTATAGATTATCTTATTCCTCCCCTCCCACACCCAAAAGAACCTCAGAGAGTTTTTCTTAAGAAATGTTTTGAAAACCAGCATTTCCAACGCAGTTTACCAGCAAGTTTACAAGTCAACTCTCAGGAAAAAAATAATCTTCTGCCAACATGGTTTCTGCAGCTGCTATTCTGAATTTAGCTGCTTTAGGCTACTTCAGACTCCAGGTCTATAAAATGTATTCAATTCAACAGAACACTCTACATTTAGTTATACAGCAAACTGGGGAAAGAGAAAAATGAGAATGCCAATAAACTCAAACATGGCCAAGCAAAATAAGAGGCAATTAATGCCTACACCAAATGAGATGCCTTTTTCCTTAAAAGATTTCTTTCCCATGGTTAGCCATCTACCGCAACAAGCCATAGACCTATTTATCAGAATGAACCTGACACAGCTCTGATACAATCATGTTAACAGCAAAGCTATAAGGCTTTTACACCATTACATTCACTTCTCACCCTATGAATACTGATATTGGGGGACATGACCAGCACAAATGGGAACACCACCATAAATGATCACTTTGTGCTCTCAGATACATTTCTTTCAGTGTATAACAGTCCCTTCATTTCACATTTTGGTACAATGCTCATGAAATGTAGAATATGCAGAGCATTTTCTTTCACAAGGTCCATGCAGAAAACATCTAAAAAAAATTTAAAGTTCTGAGATACAAATGATAAAAAGAAAATAATCCAGGATGATCAAGTTCCACGATGGATAGTGTTCTGAACATGTGTCCATTTTCTTCTATTCCAAAAGAATAAATGGCAAGAAAAGTGAAAACTGCACTCCTGCATTCTGTGATCTTCCCCATTTTGCTGGCCAGTATCCTATTCTGGCATGTAAGGGCGGAGGTGTTCCTCTATGGTACCAACCGCCCAGTGGGTGAGCTGCTCCTGTGGCAGATACAGGCAGATGCTGCATAACTTGAAGATTGTAGCTTTGTTTTTTGGAGTCTGGAAAGAGATACATAAACCTATTTCAGAACCAAGTATTTTTTATAAATAGCAGTGTCGGGAAAAAATCAAACTTTGCACATTTCTTTCAACTCCTCTTTTCAGAAGTAGAACAGTATCACTAAGAATCTAGCAGACGTGTGGCACTGCAAGGTTAATACTTAACAGAAACAGCATTTTATATCCTGCCTTTTCCAGCAGGAACATCATATCAACTACTTTTTCTGAAAGCATGTACAAGTCATTGTGATTCAAAAGGGGCAACTGAATGGAAATATGCCACCATTAATGACAAATGCTGCTCATACACATGGGGAAAATCCCAATGCTCTCTGTTCTAAAGCCTAACAGGAATGTCCCCACTAAATGCTTCACTGCAGAAATAAAAAACAAAACAATTGGTTTCCTACTATATCCCACAATGTTAAATGTGTCCAATGCATGTTACATATTATGTCAATATTTCTAAACTATTTAAGCATTCTGTCATGGCAATTGATTTTTATCTATATTCCTATTATATGTAAGCTAACCTAACAGTCAATGAATTAAAAATAACACAATGTAATTATAGGAATAGTTCATTAAAAGATACTTACCTGCAAGTGCTGTCTGTCAATGAAGAGAAACACTGACTGGTTAGGGTTGTTGATAACAATTCCAGTCTTGTCCTTTCGGCTCAGTACATGCAGAAACTGTTTTTCATAGTCACCATGATGAAATTCAAACCTGGCCTGTAGGACATAAAATATGTTTGAAAAAAGTTTAAAAAAATACAAATAATGCTAACCCAAAGATAACTTCATTACTATTCATTAATTTCTCCAAGTACAACAGGAGTGAGATTTCAAGCTTACCGAATCAGTTTGTTCTTTTACTAGAGCTTTGACACAAAAGACAACACTTGGTATTAATGAATTGTGAGCACATGAAGTAGAGGATTGAATGACGCTCACAGTCCTTCTGTACAAAAATCCACTAGGGATTACCTCAAGATTTTTCTCCTATTCCTTTCTGCATGACTTTAAGATTGGAGAGTAATTTCTTTGCTGCTATTTTTAAAAAGAATTGGGAATAAATCCTTTTCTATCAACCAAATCACCCTGAAATCTACAAGTAAATCCAGATCTGCCTAGCATCCGAGGTACATCATAGAAGAAATGTATTCAACAAAGAAATACTTAAGACATGTAGTAGTTGAAATGCAATTAAATTTAGTACAATGTATCAGATGCCCATGTTTAATTTTATATAAACAAACCAATGTTGATTCATATAAGAGTATAGTGTGTTGCATTGTAAAAGCCTCTGGTAAGTTTATTAAACCAAGGACACAACTAAACCAAGGACCACTTCAAAAATGATCCAACATGACCTTGAGAAAACCAAAGACTGCCTCGTGGATTAAATTTATTTTTGGGGTGATCCTGGATCCATATTTATCATGTAAGGACCAGATGGCCTCTGTAGCCCAGAATGCACATTATCAACTACAGTTGGTGCACCAACTACATCTATTCCGTCCCTGGATAAGTCTATACACAGTGATCCATGTGCTGGTAACCTCTATGCGCTGGTAACCCACCTACTGTAATGCCTTCTATGTGGGGCTGTCTTGTACTTGGTTCCAAAGTTGCTGCTAGTTCAGGAAGCAGCAGCCTTGGGTGTGACACCCAACTATGCTCACATAATATTAAAAGAACTACATTAGCATCCTATTAGATACCAAGGCATGTTCAAGGTTATGTTGACATGCAAAGCCATCAGCTACTTGAGAGCAGGATAACTAGTTGACCAGCTTCCCAGTCAACTGTTAGATCTTCAGAGTACGTAGTGTTGGTTATTATGCAACCTACAAATGTCACCATATAAGATCTTGAAGGTAAGCCTTCTTGGTGACAGCAACAATCCCTCCAGAAAAGCTTCCCCTGAGCAAATCAGGAAGCATAAAGTGTGGTATGCTTCAAATGCCTCCTGAAAATTCATTTACTTCAGCCTTCTCTAGTTTTTAACTATCTGCAACTATCACATGCTGCTGCATACTTCTTTTTGCATTGCTTCTGTATTGTTATTGTAGTTTTAAAATGTGTTTTACTTAAAATGTTTTAATATTGTATTTGAACGTGTTTTTAAAATTTGTATGTAAACTGTTCAGAGATGCTTTAACATTAAACAATATAAAATATTAGGGACAAATAACAAAATGTATGCCCAAATAGTACTCATCACTTCTGATCCTAGATGCATCCAGACCCAAAACATATTTGCATTTGACACACTGTACCTTGACAAACCAAGACTTTAAACAACATCTCCACCCCACACCCCTAAAAAGGCTCCATCGATCACTTATGATGAGTTTACAGAAAAGGAGAAATTTCACTGAAATTGGCAATGTCTTACTTGGAATGTATTACCACACAACCCCAAAAAAACACCGCACCTGAACAGGCCTAAAGGGCTCATCATGCAATCCCTTCCACCTAGAAAACAGAAGACAAACTATCTTCTCAATATCATTCCGAGGCCAAAGTATGAAGTCCATCTCCTGTGTACAGCCAATTACATCCTGTAAGGAGGAAACATATCAACTGTATCCATAAATCTAGTATAAGAAAATATAGGTATTAGTTTGTGGAGAAGGAATAACAACAATAATTCAAATTAAAAATGTAACTACCATACATATCTAATATAATTATTTCTTTTTCCTGTTCCTCTGACTTTCTGCTCAGGCTATATAATATAGCCTGCGTATGAGCTATCTAGTTATTAATTTACATTTCTAGTATGAAAATCAGAGCCCTGTTCAAGTAATAAACTCTCACCACAGCAGCAAACTTTCAAAGTTACAAAAAGTTATTGAATTGTAACATTGATCTCACGGTAGTAATTTAGGTGTTGAACAGCAAACATGGTCCAGTTTCAATAAAAATATATTTTCCACATTTTCATGTTCCATTTTGCTGCCTGTATCAAGGATATTAAAAACAACTGTACAGTTTACAGTAATATTTGTAACTAAAATTTATTTCATGTTTTGCTTCAGGAGCAGCTCATTTTTATGGCTTGGTTCCAGCATTGTCCAGGAGAAGCATTCTGAAAATGGTACTCTGTCAGAGGACACACCTGCAGGTAGAGGGGGCAGGCATTTTGGTTATTCACCCTACACTGTAGCCCTTCAAAAGAAAAGTGTACTAGAGGATTGGAGAACTCTCTGGAACAGTACAAGGAGGTTGCAGAGGAAGGAGGAAACCAGTGAAATTCACCTTATTTTTACCAACAGAATTTTCCTCTGGGTTGCAAGAATTTCTGTGCCCAGGACTCCTACTATACACAGAAAGGAACTCAGGAGCTAAGCCCTATGTTGATTTCTATAGGAGAAGTATAGACAATCCCACATTACCATGTATTTTCCAATCCCATTCTACCTTACTTCCAATAGGCATGTAGAATAGCATGGGAGAAACTTGCAGTTCAAAGTGAAAAGACCTCATTTAAGCACATGCAACCACTAGATGCTTTGACTCCTATTGGACATTATCTAAATATCTGATCAAAAAGCACAACTGGAAACAAGTGTTAACAAAACCTGACATTTGAAAATGTTACAAATTACTTTACCCTGCGCATAGACTGGTAGCGGGGTGCATGCAGCTGTACAACATCCTTTTGTAGAAGCTCTATGGAACTTTCCAAGGAATAGCTGGAATCCCGCACACCTTTCAGGATATTTTCTTCATAATTATTGGTCATGACTGGTATCACTTCAGACACTTCAAAGAGCGCTGACTTTTTCCTCTAATCAAAGAATACAGAGGAAGTGAAATATTGTATTTCATTAATTTCTGAGCAGTTTATAGTTACACTGCTTTGAGCACTTAAAAAATCAAAGTTAACCTTAAAAAAGGAGAAACACGGGATTTGGGAAACAATGAAAACTCAGCTTAGAGACACTATGTAATCTAGCAAAACTCATTCTTTGACTTCAATGAAATATAGTCACATACATGCTTTAATATAAATCTCTATCATAAACATCAACACAACTAACATAGCTGAATTTATGCTGGAGTACAATCTGTCAGTTTTGGGTATCCCTCAAATTTGTGTCCTACCTCCGTGTAAATGGTAACCCTTACACACTTCAAAACCTGTAGTAAGGTCATTACTATACCTAATACAGGCATATCTATAAATAAAAAACACACAGTAGAAATAGAGCATTATCAAAGCTATTGCCTAAGCATGATACCCAGAAAACCAAAGTCTAGTGGCTCTTTACTTCTGTTTTCTATATTTGGTTTCAGATCATGTTGCTAACACATCACATTTTTAAATTACAATGCACAAGTCTTTAACAATCAGAACTGAGATTACCTTGTCTTTGAATACAAAGGCAATATACATCTTGAAATCGAACTGGTCAGCAAGAGACTCTTTTTTCTTTTTAAGCTGAGCACGAAGTCTGTTCAGAGCTTGTTTCTTCCGGGAGTTTGGGTCCCCCATTTTGTAATACAGATGGTACTAAAACCTTTGGAAACTGTCACTAAACTATGGGCCTTTTTTATAAGACTTGAGTACAACAGAAACAAGTCATTTTATTCCTTCTTATACCACTGAATCAATAAAACAGACGTAACCCAAAAATGCACCTCAGGCAATTGTTTTACGAGACTGTCTTAGGAGAGGGGTAATAAAACAAAAAAAAGTAATAGTCCAACCATAATTGGACAAAGTTTGTGCAGTATTATCAAAAACCCAAAGGCATTTGAAGAAAATACACTGAAATACACAGTTTAAACCACGGGACTAAATGGGCAACAATGGGGAAAAAATCTTATCAGAATTTGCGTGTATAAAAAAAAGCAATAATGGGTATGGACCCAATCCATTTGGGCGTTGTTTTGCCTCAACCCCCCAAAAACTCCCCCAAACAAAAACTGAAATTAAGAACAGTGTTCTAACCCACCCAGATTCATGACTCTGCTGATTATTATCAAGATTTCTGCTATTGCTATGCTGCCTGGCTTTATTTTTAAGAATTATTACACTTGGTAAAAAGCAAAGGAGGGAGTGCACAACAGGAGCGGATGTTCTAGGAGGTAAGACGTTTCCCTACCAACAACAAAATCATCAACCACAGACAACACAGTGCTGGTTTGCAGAGGAGCAAGGAGTTTGGAAAACAGCAGAGTCATTTCTAACTTCATCCTGCTCATCATCAGGCACATGGTCGCCCTGAGGCTGTGTCTGTTTGAGAGAAGAGGGATCATGATGGCCATTGATAAAAGAGTAGAAGGAAGCTATAGAGAGTATCTGGCCTACAGGCTTTGAATCCCGAGTTGATCTCTCGATCTAGCTCTCCCCTTGCAGGGAGAAACACCTACATCCCCCAACAGCTTCCCTTGTCCTACCCCACCGACAGGGCGAAAATCCTCCTCCCTCTGCCGCTTGGCACCGCAAAGGAGCGCAGTTTAATTGGGGCTGGGCATGGCTGATGCGAGTGGCCTCATTGCCGGAGTTGTTCTCCTCCTTGCTCAACACTGAAGAGGAAGGGGCGGGCCTGTGCTCAGCGCAGCGGGGGCACTCAGTCTACGGCCCGGAATTCGCTCTTGCGTTCAGTCATCAACTCGGGTTCTTAAAAACACAAAATAGAAACCAAGGAAAAGAACACGCCAAGAGATTTCAATTGCAAAAACCGGCAGTTTGCAGAGATTTTTGATACTGCAAACTTAACTCTATTTAGAAAAGAGGGCGAAAAGTGCTTGCGGGGCAAACACGTCGGATCATCTTTTTAAAGACACAATAGGATTAATCCGCCTTTCCCTTTTAGGAGTTATTTGGGAAAGGTTTAAGTTGTTGGTTCCTAACACCCCCTCCCCTTCAGCCTTCCCTCAGAAAAAGGACCTTCCCTCCGACTATCCTTTTGGCCCCAGCGGGAGGCTCAGGCGGCAAGAGAGACCAAACCAGACCGGACCGGAGAGTGTGGCGTGGACTGGCTCGCTACCCGCAGCCGGCGGGCGCGGGCGGAGCAGTGGAGGCGGTGGCGGCGGCGCTGCTAGCAGCACGGGTAGGAGCCATGTCAAGATAAAGCCACCAAGAAGCCGTCGAGCTCCCCCATCCCCGCTGCGCTGTTCACGATGACCGGGCCGCCCGCTCTGCCGCTGCTCAGCCCCAGCAGCCTGGTCCCCATAGCCTAAGCTCGGCGCCCCGGAGCCACCGGGGGTGGGCAAATGGCGGCGGCGGCGGGAGGAGGAGGACGGCGACGACGACGACGACGAGAGAAGGAAAAGGAGCTGGCGGCGAGGCGACGCTGGGCCGGGCAATCCCTGCGCTACAGGCTCCTACAACGCAAAGGGCAGGAGGAAAGAGAGCGACCGCAGCTCCCCTCCTGTCCCCTCTCACGGGAAGAATAGCGCGGAAGAGTCTCTTGGGCCGAATGTCGCGGAAAGCGGGCTGCGAAGCAGGAACGGCATCCAGCGCGAAACCCCCTCAAAATGGCAGCCACCGCCTCTCCTTCCCTGCCTGAGTCACACGCACACAGGCTCCGCCCATGACCCACTGCGCAGGCGCTCTGCAGTCGGCAGTACCATTTCGGAAAGCGGGGGGAGAATGGGAAAAGAAGGGGCGAAGTAGTTGACGCCAACACTGCCCGTGCGTGTGATTTCGCGGCGTTTTCCACCAAGTAGTGGCTGCATGCAAGCCCGTCCTTGCAGCTGAAACTTGTGCAGGGTTACAACTACCTTTGGCGGCTATGCTGGACACACGTACTGGTTCCTGATAGGATTGCGCCGTCAAACAATGGGCTGCGCAGCCTGCATCGAAGTGGCTGATATACATACGATCAGTCTGTTAGTGTGACCCTCAAGCCGGGTAACTTGAAAAGCAACCCGATTCATAGCGTTGGATTTACTTGAGTGTAAACAAGTACAGGTGCGGTGCTACAAATCACGAAGTGTCACATGCACGTTCAATGCATAAATAAGTGCAAGATTAAGGGCATTAGGAATATCGGTTACAGGTATTTGGGTGGATGCTGTTCCGTAAGGAGAGGAGGATATTGGCCAACCCTCTTCCACAGTTTTGATTGTGGAAACTTTTGAACTCTTCTATTGCAGCTAGTCTGAAGACAATGCGTATTGTATGTACCACGACTTGTTCAGCAGTTGTTGAGAGATTTAAAAGTCCTCTCATCCGAAGTATATGCTTCTAAGCTGAAATTATGAGGTCTCCTGCCAAGATGCTCTCCCATGAACATTTACTTGAAATTATGCCCTATTTAGCCTACATTTTATTTCTAAGCAAACACTTGCTGGTTTGAGTTGCCAAATTCCAGCTTTACCTTTGATGTCCATTCATCAGCAAGCGAAGATGTTTTTTATTTGGACAGGGTTTGGCCTTTATGCTAACTTTTCTGCTGAAATAGTTGTTACCTTGTGGGTCAGTTTATTCTTCATGTGTCTGTTTTTAATTGATTTGTTTTTATATTATTTTGGATTTTGTAGATGTTAGCCACATTGAGCACTATTTCTAGCAGGCAAAGTGGGCTATGAATGTAAAAAATACATTCACACAAGGGGAAAGAGTGTGTGTGTGTGTGTGGGAGGGGGAACAGCAATTATGCATTGCATGTGTTCTGCTTACCTGTGTGGAGTGTTCTGTCCTGCCTCCCTATTCAGTGGTTGGATGTTTGTATTGGAGATTTGCACCTGGAGTCTTGAGGAAGGGTACCTGTTACCAATGCACTTTTGCATGTTCTGAGACCAGGTCAGTGGTATGTTCTGAAGACAAGTGCTCATCATGAGAGTCGCCATAGCCAAGCCTCCAAGGAGGGTCCAAAAATTCAGGGTGCTGTGTAGATCCAAAAGAACAACCCAGTTTTAACCATTTGCATCTTCACCAAGAGGAGGTAGCTTATGAAGCCAATTTGTTTCAATTGCCCATTCAAGACCTGCTGGTCCCAAAATACTCTGCATTGCATCAGGAAACAATATACTGTCACTAGTTCGAGTTGCTGTGAGGATTTTGGCTAAGTTCAAAGGAACAGGATTCTGAAGCAGGGTGGCAGATGATATCTTATCATCCCTGGTCAAAGTTCTCCTGCCCTTCCTCTTGTTTCTCACCACTAGGGCTCCCACCTTGGAAGTTCAAAGGATGTGCAGCACAAGGCCAGAGAGGTGCAGTCCCATGCCACATATCCTTTCATCTGAGTTGTGGTTTCCCCATGTGAGAGAAGTGCATATGGTGCAGGTGTGCTACAATCGGGAACTGAGTTTCACTATTTACTAAGCTCCATTAGTGAAGAAGCTTTGTGGGGCCTCTTTCCAGTGGTGAGTATGGCCAAAGGCAAGAACACAGGGCCAGAAAATCAAAAATGCCAACAAGATGGTAATCAAGCTCTAGGAGAGGCATTTTAACTTTTCAGAATAGTGGGTGGGGGGCTGCATAAAGGCAAAGAAATCAGCGAACAATGTCTGGAGGAAAGGTGGGCTTTTTGGAGGGCTGCGGAGGGCCAGATTGGAACGCACATTTTGGCCCCTAGGTGTGTGGTTCAGTCCCTTGCAGTGCAGGACTCGCTCTGTTTTCCTTCCTTTGCTGCCTCGTGCCACCCACATCTCCACCCCATCTCAACTGCACTGTGGATGAATCTCTCCTGGCAGATGGTAGAGGAGCGTTTCTACCAAACCCTGCAGCTTCCCGGTCAGCAACTTTTCACCCACAGGAGTAGAACGTCAATGTTTTTAATGCCACATTGCCATCTAGTGGAAAATTAACTTGAGTCCCTGATGTAACCAATTCAGCTTTAAGGACAAAGAAAGGGATGATTTCCCACAGACTCTCTGTGCCTCTTGATTTGAAAAACATGACCTGGAATGCACACAGAGGACATGCAGACTTGTATATTCTTTTGCATTTTGTTTTTAATTTTTATTCTCTACCCTGCCCCCTGGATAGCTGAAGCTCTCTGGGTGGTTTACAACCAGCTCTTAAAATACAAAAGAGATACAATTAAAAATGCAAGTACAATAAAATACAGGATACATTTCCTGTATACAAATTTAAAACAGTGTAATACACAAAAATGTAAAACAGTTTAAGCATCTAAAACAATTTTAGTAAGACTAGACCTAGTTAAAACAGCTGACATAACCTATCATACGTCATTCCTTATAAACTGCTCCATCCCAAATGTTCAGGTTTAAAAAAAAATCGATTTAAAAAACATGTAGGGCACAATTTTATTGGGATGCCTGTACCCCTCTGGACCAGGGAGGCTTCTGAATATTCAGCACAGAGCTAGGGGAGTGGCAGGGCCATCTTCTCCTCCCTCCTCCCACCCTTTCCATTTTTGCTACAGACTTTTTTGTCCATCTAGATGGAGCATCTGGGAGGGGGAGGAAGGATGCTGGAAAGGCATTAGGACAGTTTGTATCCTGGCCTCTCTGATGGCCTCCAGTTCCCAGAGATACCACTTTAAACCCTAGCTGAAGTCATTTTCTTAAACTTGGAGAGCAGCATTCTTTCTGCACCGGCTGTGAAGGGTCAGTAGATGGGGGTCAGAGCAGTTCAGAGCTCAGAGTTATAAATCCTGTGCCTCCCTGCCCTTCAGACAACCTCTAGGCACCCAAAGATGGTTTTCTTAAAATTCTTGCTCCATCCACCCACAACAGAGATTCATAGTACTTTTTCTTGCATTAGGCAAAATTGGATTGCATGTATTTCTACCACTCCTTCACCCTTTCCCAGGATTTAATTTTCTCCTGGAATCCCATGGGCATACTCAGGGTCAATCTCCATACTACATTATCCATGTTCTTAAAAAAACATGCTCCAAACTTTCTAAAGAAAAAGAAGATACGGGGCCCTGATTTAGAACATGCTCTAGATGGGAAGGAGTGCCACCAGCAGCTTCCTGTTGACATCTTTCCACTACTACTACTTCTCCCCAGGGATGCTGTTAAGTTGAAACAGCAGCACCTTGTAAGTAGCAGCCACCAAGCAGGCTATTGTTAGGAGGTCTGTCCATTTGGGGCAATTCCATCCAACATTGTTCAGAAGTACTCTGTGAGCTCCCACAATATTCTGATTCTCTTTTAGAGGGTGATGAGAAAGCTGCAGGGAGGAGGAGAGAATGCGATTTTTTTTTTAATTTCTTGAAACTTTTCCTGTTTACTCACTTTAGGATCCATACTATTACATTGCGGCAGTTGCAAGCACAATCTACTTTCATAAATATTCCACTACAACAAGTAGGGAACTATTCCAAGTAAATGGATTAAGAAACGGAGTGCCAAGAGTTTGAGAGCTAATGTACACAATTGTTATGGTTGCCTACAAGGCTAACCTAAAGCTGACAGCTTGGTATGTCATCAGGCCCAGTTTTAGGTTTTGGAGACCCCTGGGCAAACTGCCATCACGTGCCTTTGGTTTTCTCTGCATTAGAAGAGTGCACTTTTGCCCCTTCAGATGTTGGACTACATTCCCCATCATGCCTCACTATTTGTTATGGTGGTGAAGGCTGATAGGAGCTGCAGTCCAATAGCACCTAAAAGGCCACGAGTTCCCCACCCTACCCTGCATACTTGATTAAGGGCAGCTTACTTGCCCATTAGTATGAAGACTACAGCAAGGGCTACATAGCCAAACTCGTTACTGCATACAGACTGGGTTTAGACATGAGAACCCACACTCAAGGGTTGAGTATGGGTTGTCACTGAACCATGAGTTGTCGTTGAAATGTGCATCACTGTGTTGTGCTAACAAGTCATGAAGATTACCCATGTTTTGTTGTTGGTTGTGAACTGTGGCTTGTTTGTAGTTAACAAACCATGGTTTGTTAGTGCAGTTGGGTTCATCAACACAATAATCCATGTTTCAACCACCATTCGTATTTCAGTGGCAATCCACACTCACTCCCATCAGTCCTTGAATGCAGATTATCATGTTGTCTCAACGTAGTGACAGGGTAGGCCCAGCTTCATTAGGAAGTTCATGGTAGTGGTGGTACTTGAACCCACTTTTCCCATGTCCATGCAATACACTGTCCACTGAATAGCACCTCTATTGAAGTCTAGTTGGAACAAACATATTTGAACAGAACTTTTCCTCAGAAACTCTGAAAGACAGCTTTTGTTCCATCATGTTACTTGATATTGGTTATAGTTACTAAAATTAAAAAATAGGTGTGTCAACACTGTTGTTTTGAACAAGTCATTCTATTCGGTACGCTGAAAACAATATATCCAGAAAAGGACATTTTCTTTGCTACGTCTTCTGAAAATGTTTAAATGAAGCTTCCTTTTGCACAGAGAATGTTCAGAACTAATTGGCTGAGCTCAGTGAGAAACCTCACTGTTTGTTCAAGTGCCTATTGAAGTGCAAACGGTCATAACAGTAGGAGTATTAATTTGTTTTGAAACACACTGAAAAGCATTTGAACATGTAGAATTAGAGAAAAGACAAATCAAGATTGGCAAAATGCTGCAAATGAAGGCAAATGTCACAACATGTTTTTCT